TTCCGTGTATCTATACAGTTATAGAAATTATTAGAAACACGCGTGGAAGTTTTGGGCGAACGAAAAATAATCCATGCACGTGAATGAAATCTAAGAACCAGTGTTACTATAGGCTACTACATGATGACTACATGCTATTTTCTACATTTATTTTCGTCATTTAAACAGTGTATAGTATTATTAAACTAATAGAAAGGCTTACTTGTTGATTCTTTTGTCGGAGAGTTTGAGAAGGAAGAATCCACTGCCTATCAACAAGAAGACAAATATTGAACTGTAAATTAAATAAGTCTCACATTCACGATGTGCATGTTTCAAACTGCAGTTTAAATGAGGTTACAAGCAGTTTAGCTGTCATCGATTTTTTCTTTTTATTAATTTCATTTAGTTACTAAAATCTTTCATACCAATATATAAAATAAATATTGAAATATATCAGCCGCCTAAAAAAGTGTGACTAACTATTTTCTTTAATATTTACACTGAATTTCGTTGTCTTCTCTTTGTATGAGTAATTTAATTGCATATGCATGCAAAATCTTCTGATGATACTCGCGTTTCATACTTTGTCAACTTATCACTCGATCTAAGCAAAGATAACATACTGGAGACATACTTACAAGATGGTTGAATTCAGGGTTTGTTTCCTCATCCACATCGGATGTTTCTTCAGCCTTCCTTTTGTTTAGCTCACACAGACCTTTACCAATTCCAGACGTTTTATAATTCACAGACGCACAAGATTCATGTCCAACGCAATGCAAACCGCATTCCAATTCTGAATCTGCTTGTCTTCGTTCGATGACATGATTTGCCAAGAATCGTTTCTCGTGTCTGCGAAAAATGGCTTGCTCAAGTTTCTGAATTTCTGCTTGCGCTATTTTTGAGACACACATGAACGTCAGAATTATTTTTATTTAGTTCATCATTGTATGAAATCTGACGATATATCCCTGCATCAAATTTACACCTTTTATCACAAGCAACTAGTGAGGATAACTTGAGGGAGTTGACTGTTCCGTGCAGCGTATGTTACAGATGTCATTGTGTTGATGAAATTACATAATTATGTTCCTATTTAGCTTAACTGGATTCAATAACCAATCGGAATCATGCTTTTCTGTAAACCGCGTCATAATGCAGCCTAAATATTAGCATGTTTCATAACCAAAGCAAAGCCTGATTAATATTTTATTCACCTTGTTTAGCACGTACGTTTTTAACAGAAGTTATAATAATTATTCAACAGTTATTTATAGATATTTGACATATCAATTTTTAACACTAAGATTTCCTCGATTGTAGTTAATGTACATCAAAATCTACTTCGCGTATGAAATCTACTTTAAGTGTGAGACATTATTTGTTTTGAGTATTTCTTTTGAAAAACAGTTCCATTATACGAATAGTTGGATAGGATTGTTGCATGAATATTGGCAAAAAGAAACGAAAGCTTATGGCACTTTTCCGTTTACAGCCATAGGGTTAAGTTGGAAATCCAATGTTTCACCGCGTATTTATTCTAGCCATACGTCAGTGCAAAAATCGTATACCACTAATCGTATAGTGTAAATGGCCCTTCACACATGTTAGATTTAATTAAATTTAGTCGAGTCTAAAATAATTATCTTTCATGGGGATTTTTATTACAGTCACGCGCGAGCACAAAGGGCCCCAATAATCTGCTTATGCTGCTCTGGATATTCACTATACATATTAAAAACGTGCTCTTGCTCATTCTAAGTTGTATTGCAAAGTGTTTCATGCTAATCCTGTATAATATATTTTAAACATGATTGCGTGAGCCACGCTTCAAGCAATGCAAATTTTATGTTATCATCATTTTTTTTTTAGATATTCATTGTTTTCAGAGTCAATTGTCGGTCTGGCTACGCCACTGTTATGGAGACAGATATATGTAAATAAGTTGTGGAAGACACGGACTATTGCGCTAAAATCAATTGTGCGGGTTCCGGTTTTACTGGGACAGCCAGTTTAATACCCCTTAAAACTCATTTCCTTTCATCTCGGCTAAACGGGATCATGCGACTGATGCGAGATCCATAAAAAGCTGTCTTGCATAATAGCTTAATTTAAATAGGTTCACATAAACACTTGTTATGTTCTTATTCACATCTTTCAACCAAACATAAAATATTAAAGCAGACAACAGAGCTGATGACGGATTGAAATCTTAGTGATCCCAGGCAGATTTATTTCTTATAAAATTATAACACTCGGACACTTAGTAATTAACAGACACTTCCCGAATTTGCTCTCGGGCAATGAAAACCATCCCATCATAAACAATAGATTTGATGGCCCGCCTCGTTTTTAAGCTACTGTTTTGTGTGCACTCGAGCAAATTCGGGAAATATCTATTCTCAGGAATATGAGAGTCTCTTGTCATAACTAATAAGTTCAACGATCTAGTCCCCTTTAAAAATATGTTGTCTTATTAGTTCTTTAGTCTTTCTTCGACATAAATGTCCTTAGTTATAAATATCACTACTGATTTATAAAATAATGTCCAACTACTGATCTATAAATGTTCAACTACATTTACACAGGGACTGCGGAGGAGTCAGATGTAAATAATGGAACGCACGAGCGCAACAGGACCAGCGCAACAAGAGAACGACTAAGCAATTTTCGTTGCGTAGACTTTGTACGAAAAAATCAACTTCTGCTGTATTCGCATGGATTCCAAAAACGGGAAAAGAAACGTTTTATTTTACAGTTGTAATAATTCGCCATACAGTTTACCGTATTGGGGCCCAGAGCTTGTCTAGCTTTTTGCAAAATATAGCATGCAGTTATGCTCCAGTCGTCATGATCTACCAAGCGGCTTAAAAATCTGCCCTTGTATTATCTCTTTTGGGTATCCATGCACTGTACGTCAATGCTGACGTTGTAAGCCGAACACAAATAAAATATTTGGAACGCAAGTTCGTGCAAATCTAACCTCATGCTTCTTGTTTTGACAACACTTTCGACTGCTTTATTGTCAATTTACCATTTTATATGCGGAGATGATTTAAAGTTAACAAGACGCCTGTTCTGGCGTTAACTTCGGCGCACGTGCCAGTCTTCAATATAGAGCTTCTGAACATAAACAATACAGTTCATATTCGCATTTAGATGCCTTGCGAACCTAAATGTTCGATCGCGAAATTCAAAAGGACCTCGTACTTTAAAAAGTATAGAAGTTCAATAATTATTGTTAAAAAATGTAAATAAACCGCATGATATATTCGCTTTGTCTTACACTTTGCCTTTGGAATTCGCGCTTATATAGTTATATTAAATCTTCAATCCTGTGCAAACTACGACGTTCAACGCGCCCATACACGACCACATCATCTTGTTAAACGGCGAAATAGCAGCAATATTATAAAAATAGGACCAAAATCTACATGTATTAAATATATTCTTACCCCAATTCAATCTAAACTTAGTCGAAAAGCATGAAAAGAACGGTTTATTTGTTGCTCTTGGAGGAATTGCCATGTACAATCCCCATGTACAATCAACAAAAACAATTTGATAAAACTGTTCTTTTGTACTTACAGAGCTTAGAATGCATTTTAACTCCCAAAGGGAACAAACTTTATGTTTTAGTTTAATTAATATGATATGCGTATCATGCGAGCGAAATCGAATCGCGCATTGGAAAATTAGCCAAAGCTGTGCACCACGCACAAATTTATTTTGGGATCACTTTCGATGGGAGCTTTGTAACCGTGCCTGTTTGAGTTATTTTCTACATTGAGCACTATAAATATACCTAAACTACGCTATGCTTCAGCGCTTCAGCAACGACTTGTTAGTCGAGAAGTCGTACTGCGTGGGAAATATCCCGGTTCAAATCTTGGTAAAGCACCATTATTTTACTTCATTTTTCCTTTTTTTTTAAATTTTTTTTTGAAATTGAACGTCTACAATACCATTTGGTTAGTTTCAGGGTTTATGTGTGGGACAGGTTTTTATTTTTTATTTAAGTTTCAGAATTTAAGCACTATATTTAAACTCCGAACGCAGAATTTAAGCTCCCAGCGAAAGTGATCCCAAAATAAATTTGTGCCTGGCCGCCATCTTGAATCAGGCCTGGTTACAAGGCAAATTCGAAAAAGTGAGCCCAAAATATTATTCTGCGTGCACCACAACTCTTGGGAGATAAGACTGGGACGTAGATAAATACGGTTACATACATATTTTAAATACTACAATGTTTCGCGCCATTCAGACTTGCGACGACGAAAAATAAACAAAAAAAACAAAAAAAAAACAACAAAACAAAACCGGGGCGAATTTTCAACTCCGTGCTGACGCCGGAGTAATAAGACGCCTGTTCTGGCGTTAACTCCGGCGCACGTGCCAGTCTTCAATATAGAGCTTCTGAACATAAACAATACAATATATTCGCATTTAGATGCCTTGCGAACCTAAATGTTCGATCGCGAAATTCAAAAGGACATCGTACTTTAAAAAGTACAGAAGATCAATTGTTCAAAAATGTAAATAAACCGCATGATACATTCGCTTTGTCTTACACTTTGCCTTTGGAATTCGTGCTTATATAGTTATATTAAATTTTCAATCCTGTGCAAACTACGACGTGTCAAAAAGCCCATACACGATCACATCATCTTGTTAAACGGCGAAATAGCTAGATTATTTACAAAAATGATTGCCAACATAACAGGATTCATAATATGCATATTTTATAACATTTTATAGCTGGAAAATAGTATTAAAATGCTGAACCTGCATTTGTTAAGGTCTGGTTTGTGTTTACGAATATAAAGAGCCTCTTTGAGTTTGAGAGAGAAGGAGGTTTTAGCAGTGTCTAAGATAGAAAAGCAGGACCGGGTGTATTTAGAATTGCAGTTGGGGTTTTGTAGGTGTCTATAGACGTGTGAGTTTTTGTCAGTGGAGGTGTGTTCTTTGATCCTTGTGGCGAGATGTCGGGTGGTTCACCGGTTTCACATGTTCTAAAACGCTTGAAGCATGGGTTCTAAATTTTAGAACGACGCAATTAAGCGTCGCCAGATTATAATCTAAATAATCTAAGCGACGCTTTCGTTAGTTCAGTGTTAGTTACCAGGACCGGCGGGAAAGTAAATAACAACATGGCGGCTCGTCGAAGTGCTATGTTATCCACATCACAGCGTCCAAAGCGCTTTAAAGCGGCGAAAATCAGTGTTTTGAGTGTTTCAACGTCGGGAAAAAAATCAAGAAAAAGCTTTTCTTTAAAAGTTCGGAAAAATACAATTAGTGACAGAAGTGTTGATAGACAATATGGCCAAGGAGAGTTAGATTCAGCGGTGGATAATATAAATCAAGGCACATTTGAACAGGAAATATTTGACGAGTCAGATCAGGAGGGCCCTGTAACGTCTCAACACAATAAACGGAGATTTAAAGAGTTCAGTAGCTGGGGAAATATTCGGGAAGAACTGTTAAACGGCCGAATTGAGACAGAGGCCGAGGGGTTCTTTAATAGCAGCCAGAAATGTTGTGAATGTGGGCAAAATCAGGTTGATGTTCGTTGTAACGAATGTGGCATTGAGCAGTATTTCTGCCTATTATGTGCTGAAAATATTCACGGGCGACGAAATTATTTCCATGTTTTGGAAAAGCTTCAGGTAAATGCAATTCATACTTTATTTTCATGTAGAAAATAAGTAAATGTTAGCAAAACACCATGCAATCCAGAAAAAGAGGATAGAGTGTCATTTTTGTTTTCTTTTATATGTAGGATGAAAACATTGTGCCATTTTTGTCAATCATGTTGTCATTGGAAGAGAGCATCAACAAAACTGTCCATCAGCCCAACCTAGAAATGTTGTTTGCATTGATCAGTTTGGTAATTAATTTCCTTTGTATAAACACATATATACTTGTAAGAGTTGTTGTTATTGTTAAAGGAGTTTCCATACATCTCAGGATAGAGTTTATCCATGAAATTCAAACATGATTTAGATTGAATAATTAGTTGCCAATTCTGTATGATATTTAGGTCGCCAACATCATAAACAGATACTGTTTTGTGATTGTGAGAAGGATGCTGTAACATTGATGAAAATGAAGTTATGGCCAGGAAGTGCAACAAGACCAACTCTTGCTTTCCAGGTTCAATTAATGGAGCTGGCTCGAACTCTTCTATTGGAGTGTCATGTTTCCCTGAAAAAGTTTTGTGATGCGCTAGGAATTTTTTCCAAAAAATCAACTCTTCCAAAATGGGTATAGTATTGTTTGTTTAAACATGCATTATCATTGCTACTAGAGGCTCACATTAGACTTCCACCACTGTGACCATTATATTAAAAAACATAACATACACATATCTTATTAATGGCTCACCAGATCACAATTTTTTGGCAGGTTAACAATATCTACTCCACACTAAATACTGATTCATTTGATGAATATCGGTAGAGTAACTATATAATTATTTTTGATATGTGGTACTGGTAAATTCAGAAATGTAGAATGCTTATATGTTTGCATATCATATAATGCTGTATATATATTTAAAATCTAGCTATCATCAGTATTTGCTTGGAACTGGCTTTCCCATTAGAGAACAAACCATCACAAAGCACTCATGTCCTCTTTGTCCTAAGGTACAGTGGTAGTATTTATAATTAACTGCCACATTAAATTTCAGGTTTGATTTAGAGCTGTATTACCTGTATATAGACATATAGTAAACATTGTCTTTGCACAAATGGCGTTGTAAAAAATAGTTTTGCAAGTAACTTGAATTTCTTCTTATAGGAAGGGGAATCTGGTATTCTTATAGAATCTATGGATGCTTGTTTTGGTTTGGTGCGAAAAAAGTCTGCTGCCAAATGTATTCTTCCCCCACGGCATCAACTGACTATGTTCGCAAATCAAACTGATGTTGATGAATTTGTTGAAAATTATACATCCAATGCCAAAAAAGCTGATACAGTAAGTATGCAATTTGAACCAATAATCTTGAACAACTGAAAGTGTTTTATTAAGTCTTTTTCTATTATTTAGAGCTGCAATGAGTTTAAGGCTGGGGAAGTTAACAGTATGCTTCGGTCCAAAGGAAAAAATAGATTATATGATGAGAAAGGTGTTTTTGGTCGTGTATGCAGACATGATTATCCAAAAGGCTTTATAAATATCAAACATGGTGAAAGGTACAGTAATGTGTGTACAAATTGCCCATATATGTTTCACATGTTAATAGTTAATCATTTTACAGAATTGCATACTCTGTACATGAGCTAGAGCGAGTAATCAGGACTTCAGATGAAAATTGCAAGATTAGAAGACATATATTGCTTGCACATTGGTAGCACATTTTAAGGTAAACAAATGTACTAGTAAAACTAATTGAATTCTTATACTGGACTGTTTTTTCAACAAATTCGATTTTATTTAGCAAACAACTAAAAACATTTCAAATTTTCAATGCATTTTTGCTAAGTTGCATTATTGGGACATGTATTTTGGCAAATCAAAAATGTATATGCAGTATGGTATTTCTTTAGAAAAATTCAAGACAAGATATTTTGGACCGCATTGGGTTTGCAATACCTATTTTTCATTGCTATGGCCATAAGTCATCATGCCAGGTGATTTATTTGTTCTTTAACCACTAGTCTCTACTAATGTAGATGGTAAATAGCAAGGCTTTGATTAAATCAACAGCTTTATTACTTCAAAGGTTATAAAGAAGACTGCCACTATATAGTATCGCTGATAATATTGTTAATGTACTTCATGAAGTTCATACTTTACCTACCTGTTGAACTTCAATATTTGAACCTCTCAGGTAGAATTTAGTCCAAGACGACAAGAAGGGTATGGCCTGACAGATGGTGAAGGCATTGAAAGGCTGTGGTCTTACCTAAGAGGGTTTTCCTCAATCACCAAAGAAATGAGTGCTGGACGACGAACAGATGTGCTAACTGATGCTTTGTTACATTATGGTGCTCGTCAGCTTCGAAATTTCGGTATAGAATTGTCTTTAGGAAAAATAAGTGTGTAAAATAATTTTAATGTGCAACAATTGTATTGTTCAGGAACTTCATTGCAAGCGAAACTTAAAAGGTGCTCAAGTATAATAGTGCATACATTGTCGCAAATACAAGAACTATTTTCCAAATTGCCAGGTAATTTAAATAAAGCCTTTATATTAGTGTACTGACTATAAAAGAACAAAAATGTACAGAATATACGGTATAATAACTTCGTAATAATTTTAGTTGCATATGATCCGTTCCTTATTAACACTTGGATGGAAGAGGAACGCAAATGTATTCAAGAAAGGAATTCCAAGAAAATGCGTTCGTTGACATGGGAGGAACAATATGTTCAAAATCTTCTCCATCTTTACCAACTGAGGTAATTCTACTTTTGGACATTTGTATATTTAACTTAATTTATAACTAATGATCTTCTTTTTAATGTCTCCTAGAGCTCAGATTGGAAATATTCCAGAAGGAGATCACAGCCAACTTACAGATGTGGTGAAAAAAAGCAAAAAGTATAACAATTTTGTCGAGGGTTATAACTTGATGAATCAGCTTACTAGTGTATTGCATTCTCAACATTGTTACGTTGTCTCATGGATTCTTTTCTAATAGGGTTTTAAAAGCTGTTCAGCGTATAGAAAAACAACAAAAACTCAAAAAGAGATGGAAAACTGGAGAGAGTAAGTTCAACGCCGCCGCCATTTCTCTTGAACAAAGAAGGCAAGAGTCTGTGATGGAATTGACCTACTCTTCAGCGGTTGAAAGAATGTTTCTTATCTCTCTCAAGAACAAGTACGCAGGTAATGTATACGACAGGAAGGTTTTCAGGTAGTGTATTTTTATAACTTTAATAATTTTGGTAGATGGGCAAGCAATTGCAGTCAAATTGTCCAAACAAATTTCACAAAGAACCAATGCCATCAAAGCTGCAGTTACCAGGTACAATGCATCATTGAATTCACTGGAAGACTGGATCCAAGAATTACCAGCAGAAATGCAATTTGAGGAAGCCAAAGATCCAAATTCCGTCATATACTCCCACCTAAATCACCAACAAACCAACGACACAGTGCCCTCCGCTGTGAAGAGAGCTGCAATTGATTCACATAATTCTTAGAAAGGTGCAAAGAAGAACAGAGTATTCTGCTTTTAGAAGTCGAAAGGCTGTTTCGATACTACGTGGACAGAAAAAAGAACTTGATAAGTACTGCATCACGCACTCTGGGGATCAACCAAAGCTCGTGAATGGTTTAATTGCAATGGCAAAGCAAGAAATTGTTGAAATATATAACGCATTATTTTTATTGAAGTCAAACCTTTCTGAGCACCTCAATGTGGAAGATATAATGATGAATGAAGTATGTATCAGAAAAATTGAAGCAGAACATTCGTGTGCTAAAGGTATGGGAAGAGAATTTGAATCCATTTCAAGTTTCGATGACGAAGTAGACGAAGAAGACACGCCATTGCTGGATTTTTCCGAGGACGATTCGGAAAGCTCCGATGACAGTCTAGAATAAACAAGTGAAGTCACTAAGACACACGCAGATAAAAAAGTGTAAATTCATATTTAAATACAATGTGGTCATGGGATCCTGTAAGCAGGTCATGTGGTCGTGTAAACATGTTTGTCCTACTTAAGGACTGTGTACTAGATTAAAAACAAATTAATGCACACATATTGTTCACACTCCAATGTATTTTTGTGTGCTTCATTTACATTCTAATTTAATTTATGTCAACTTACCCCATCTTAGGGTGCTTTACCACACTAACATAGCGTAGGTCACCTTAACTTGCCGCATAGTGGGGCTTAAATTGATACTTAAACGTAAGTTAGATCATGTTGATTCTGTGTAATTTTTACATCTTAACCTAAGATGTGTCATGGGATCCTGTAATCAGGTCATGTGGTCGTGTAAACATGTTTGTCCTACTAAAGGACTGGGTACTTGATTAGAAACAAATTACACGCACTGCGCTTGTTCACACTCCAATGTATTTTTGTGTGCTTCATTTACATTCTAATTTAATTTATGTCAACTTACCCTTCTTAGGGTGCTTTACCACACTAACATAGCATAGGTCACCTTAACTTGCCGCATAGTGGGGTGCTCAAATTGATACTTAAACGTAAGTTAGATCATGTTGATTCTTGTGTAATTTTTACATCTTAACCTAAGATGTGGTCATGGGATCCTGTAAGCAGGTCATGTGGTCGTGTAAACATGTTTGTCCTACTAAAGGACTGGGTACTAGATTAGAAACAAATTATACGCACAGAGCTTGTTCACACTCCAATGTATTTTTGTGTGCTTCATTTACATTCTAATTTAATTTATGTCAACTTACCCCATCTTAGGGTGCTTTACCACACTAACATAGCGTAGGTCACCTTAACTTGCCGCATAGTGGGGTGCTCAAATTGATACTTAAACGTAAGTTAGATCATGTTGATTCTTGAGTAATTTTTACATCTTAACCTAAGATGTGGTCATGGGATCCTGTATCAGGTCATGTGGTCGTGTAAACATGTTTGTCCTACTAAAGGACTGGGTACTTGATTAGAAACAAATTACACGCACTGCGCTTGTTCACACTCCAATGTATTTTTGTGTGCTTCATTTACATTCTAATTAAATTTATGTCAACTTACCCCATCTTAGGGTGCTTTACCACACTAACATAGCGTAGGTCACCTTAACTTGCCGCATAGTGGGGTGCTTAAATTGATACTTAAACGTAAGTTAGATCATGTTGATTCTTGTGTAATTTTTACATCTTAACCTAAGATGTGGTCATGGGATCCTGTAATCAGGTCATGTGGTCGTGTAAACATGTTTGTCCTACTAAAGGACTGGGTACTTGATTAGAAACAAATTACACGCACTGCGCTTGTTCACACTCCAATGTATTTTTGTGCTTCATTTACATTCTAATTTAATTTATGTCAACTTACCCCTTCTTAGGGTGCTTTACCACACTAACATAGCATAGGTCACCTTAACTTGCCGCATAGTGGGGTGCTCAAATTGATACTTAAACGTAAGTTAGATCATGTTGATTCTTGTGTAATTTTTACATCTTAACCTAAGATGTGGTCATGGGATCCTGTAATCAGGTCATGTGGTTGTGTAAACATGTTTGTCCTACTAAAGGACTGGGTACTTGATTAGAAACAAATTACACGCACTGCGCTTGTCTACACTCCAATGTATTTTTGTGTGCTTCATTTACATTCTAATTTAATTTATGTCAACTTACCCCATCTTAGGGTGCTTTACCACACTAACATAGCGTAGGTCACCTTAACTTGCCGCATAGTGGGGTGCTCAAATTGATACTTAAACGTAAGTTAGATCATGTTGATTCTTGTGTAATTTTTACATCTTAACCTAAGATGTGGTCATGGGATCCTGTAATCAGGTCATGTGGTCGTGTAAACATGTTTGTCCTACTAAAGGACTGGGTACTTGATTAGAAACAAATTACACGCACTGCGCTTGTTCACACTCCAATGTATTTTTGTGTGCTTCATTTACATTCTAATTTAATTTATGTCAACTTACCCCTTCTTAGGGTGCTTTACCACACTAAAATAGCATAGGTTACCTTAACTTGCCGCATAGTGGGGTGCTCAAATTGATACTTAAACGTAAGTTAGATCATGTTGATTCTTGTGTAATTTTTACATCTTAACCTAAGATGTGGTCATGGGATCCTGTAAGCAGGTCATGTGGTCGTGTAAACATGTTTGTCCTACTAAAGGACTGGGTACTAGATTAGAAACAAATTATACGCACAGAGCTTGTTCACACTCCAATGTATTTTTGTGTGCTTCATTTACATTCTAATTAATTTATGTCAACTTACCCCATCTTAGGGTGCTTTACCACACTAACATAGCGTAGGTCACCTTAACTTGCCGCATAGTGGGGTGCTCAAATTGATACTTAAACGTAAGTTAGATCATGTTGATTCTTGTGTAATTTTTACATCTTAACCTAAGATGTGGTCATGGGATCCTGTAATCAGGTCATGTGGTCGTGTAAACATGTTTGTCCTACTAAAGGACTGGGTACTTGATTAGAAACAAATTACACGCACTGCGCTTGTTTACACTCCAATGTATTTTTGTGTGCTTCATTTACATTCTAATTTAATTTATGTCAACTTACCCCATCTTAGGGTGCTTTACCACACTAACATAGCGTAGGTCACCTTAACTTGCCGCATTGTGGGGTGCTCAAATTGATACTTAAACGTAAGTTAGATCATGTTGATTCTTGTGTAATTTTTACATCTTAGCCTAAGATGTGGTCATGAGATCCTGTAAGCAGGTCATGTGGTCGTGTAAACATGTTTGTCCTACTAAAGGACTGGGTACTAGATTAGAAACAAATCATACGCACAGAGCTTGTTCACACTCCAATGTATTTTTGAGTGCTTCATTTACATTCTAATTTAATAACTGCGCTCTAACGAACACTCTAACATCACCTTGCCCTATCTTGGGGTGCTTGGTCACACTCAAACGTAAGTTAGATTATGTCGGTTGTTGGTGTATTTCAAAAAAGTAATCTTTAATGTACATGGTTTACTTAATTACAACATTGAGCAGAACATGATGAACGTAACAACAGATAGTTTGTAAATACAAGCCCAATACAAATGCAGTGTTTCCCTATGATGACGATAAAAATTTGGGTTGGGACGAGCTTGTGGCATCCGCAGTCAATCAGAAGCTCTCATTTCTCTTTATGATATTTACAAACAGCAGAGTCTGCCAAAGAGCCGCTTGAATTAACTTCAAATCTTAACTACAATATACTTAATTAAGAAAATCCCTGATGCTCCAAACACTTCACAATTGAAGTGTCAAAATCTACTGGTAGAACAATTATTGTCGTACGATTACATAGGAGCAAATGTTTCTTCAGCCGCAACGACCCCAGATTGCCATCAAAACAAATCACATTTAAGGCTTTGATTGATGTCTTTTTATGGAGAAGTTTAAATTCTAAATTTGAGGTCGCTTTATCCAGCCAATATCCTGAAATGCTGTCTTCTGGACTTAGAGATTCTATCTCCGTTGCGGTCCCAGGATGATAGAAAAGCCAATATGGGTCTTCTGTCTCGGTGTAAACTGGTAGAATATAACCTTTGTGTCTGAAACTGCTCTGATAGTTCGCGATAAGCGCTGACATAGCATCCTTTTCAAAATGACTGTGTAAATCTGTCATCAGGACTTGGAAATCACTTGCAGATAAATCCGGGTCAGCAACTTCTAAATCGTCCTTCTTAATTGACGTTTCTCCTGACAAAATTCTACCAATTTTGTCACTGTCTACAATTTTTGTTAATGCTTGGGAATGCTTTGAAGTGAGTTGAAGTGTTTCTTCACGGTCACTAGCCTGATTTTCAACGATGAAAAACTTTATGTTTTCTGAATTCTTCATAATGGCTTGAATGGTATTAGCACCATAGGAAGTTGGCTTTTTGAACTCTACACCATCAGGTAACCCTGTTACCTCAAACCCACCCTTATGGTAAGGTACACGAGCACAAAGTTTTCCAGAAGCCTCACCTGTCAAGCAGAAATACATACACATAATAAATTTACAATATATAGGTACTAAATAGATTAGTTTGGCATTCGACGCATGTCATGAGTGATGATTGAATAATTATATTTTGTACAAATATAAATGTAAATTATGCTAAGCTTACGGTATTTTCTGTTGAACATTGCAGCAACATCTGATGCTGAATACTTTTCGTTCGGGCATTCTGCAAAAAAAATAAGAACACAAATAATGATTAAACATCTGTAGTCAGTATTTAAAACATAAATGTACATACACATGTACTGTTCATACAAACCAAAAAATTCCATAAACTTTATTGTTGCCTCATTGTTCTCACTAAGGTACTTCAGACCTTTGCCAGTACCATAGTGGCTAATTTCTTTCGACTCATGCTCAAAAATCATGACCGATGCATCACAACCAAGGCTTTCCAAATATGACAACTAAAAAGATATAAAACACTAATTTGTTTTATATTATTAACTAGAATGACTTGTATGAAATATAAATGTATACCTGTGCTATTAGTTGTTTCTTTGCTTTCAATACTTGAGCTTTTTTTGTTTTGGTGTTAGCTCTGTTGTGCAATTATTAGCAAGTTCTCTAGCATTTTCTTTCCATTCTTCACATTTTTCCAATGAAAGTGATTTCCACTTATCAACTGCAAACTTCATTTTAGCTGACTTGCTTGATAACATTTGGCATTCGTCTAAATATTAGATTTCATTTATGTAAGTCATTTTACATACAAAATTACAGATTAAATATTGTTATACTATTTAATACTTTTTTGGTTTCAGCCCTATTTTAAAAATATTGATTTGAAATGACTAAAACCTAATTGGCATATCATTTGCAGATTTACAGAAGTTCTAATCAGAAGCAATCCACCTGGTTGCTTCTGTTGTGTTTGTCAAATTGTTCATGGAACTTATAACATGTTTTTGCACTGATGAATGCCCAGGTTATACTGCACATAACAAATACATGTGGTATTTACAAAGAAAAGGTACCAACTTAAAGACCCTTAATGGTAAATTATTCATTATTTTTTTGCATTGACAGAGTTTAAAGTTTAGCATTGCTCAAGTATAACATTTTTTAAATTAGTCACATGTTAGAAGAATACTAAAACCTGAATTCATCATTTGGGAACAGAAAAGATTATATCCAGTGATTGCACGTTTAGATGGCGGCTTGTTGGACTGTCTCTCTTCCAAATCATTTACAAAAGTAGAGCTTGCTTTTCGCTTTCTCCTTTCATTTCCTATCCATTTCTAAAAACAATAATTTATTTTACACATTATGGGTAGTCATGGCATGCTGACCATGCATTTGCAGAAGCATTAACCATTATATACTATAATTAGATATTCAAAATACATGCTTAGAGAACACATTAATTTAATGTCTTTTAATTACAGTTGGGGTAGTTGTTTTTGGTCAACTAGTATTAAACAAATATATATTCTGCCAATTGTGCAATAGAATCTTTTTATTTCAAATAGTTTTCTATTGCATGGTTGCTTTCACTATTCGCTTTTTTAAATGGAACATTCCATCTTTCAAGTAATTATGTAATATAATTTAATTACATCCTTACCATTGCACGAATGAAAACAATCTGACATTATTAGTTCATTATAAAATGTATAAATAGGATACTCAAATGCTATAAATACGATAAACAGGCATAACTTTACAACACCGTACTAAATATAAATTGAATTTACACGAAACCAAGTAATTAAAGCATTATTATATACACCTAGAAACATTAATTTTGTTGTGAAACGATCACAAACGTTTAATAACATAACGTTTGCCATTTGAAGGGTTTATTTATATTAGAACAAATTCACTAACCTTGACTTTATCAACACTAAGATTCGCTTCTTGCGCAGCTTGGTCAATGAAAGCATGCATGCATGGAGACGTTGTGGTCATGCCTTTATCATAATATTCACAAAGAATTCGTTTTTTTTCATCGGTCAAGACAGCATAACAACCCCTTTCTGTCGCCATTTTGTTTATGTTCAACACGTTGTAATAGTTATCCCAGCTTGCTTTGCGCGTGCGGATTAGATTATTTAGATTATAATCTGGCGACGCTTAATTGCGACGTTCTAAAATTTAGAACCCATGCTTCAAGCGTTTTAGAACATGTGAAACCGGTGGGTGGTTTCACCAATATAACAGGAATTACATCCTGCGCAAGTAAATTTGTATACCACAAGGGATTTTACATCACTGGGGATTGCATCCTTAAAGTTGAAAATGTTTTTGATTTTATAAGAAGTGAACACCAGTTTTAGATTTATGTCACTGTAGAATCGTTTGGCAATGTTGAGAAGTTTCTGTTCTGTAATTTGAGAGTAGTGTCCTATGCACGGGAGTTTGAAGTAATGAACGTTGGGTTGTTGTTGATCATGCAAATTGGTGTTCCGAGTTTTGTAGTTTGTGAGTTTTGTCTGTTATTGTAAGAGCTGATTTGTGTGTTCGATCAGATGTAGCGGGAACGCGTTGTGTTGAAGCGTGTTGGTGAGTTCTTTTAGATCGTTATTGAGGCCAACTTCGGTGTTATTGATTTTATAAATGCGATCTATATATGAGTGTTAATGAGACACGATTTGTACCGAAATGACGTAAAGCTAAAAAAGTTGGTCAAAAGGCCGGTGTAAGTTTTTTTGTGATAAACGGAAGGTCAAAAACGTATTGTAGAAGATTTCTTAATAAGTATATCAAGGAAAGAAATTTTGCCATCTTGTTCCGTCTCAAAAGTGAACCTAATATTATTATGGCGAGAATTAAGATAATCGAAAAAAAGTTTAGCATCAGTTTCATTTTCAAACATGCAAAACGTGTCATCAACATAACGTCGGTAGAAAAGAGGTTTGTTTCCGCTGTAGTTTTTAATCCAATTAGTTTCATGGTGGCCCATGAAAAGATTAGCCAAAACTGGAGCTAGAGGAAAGCCCATAGCTACCCCATCAATTTGATCATAAAAATAGGCCATCAAAGATAAAATGGGTTTGTGATGTAGCCAAGGTAAATAAATGTGTGAGGTCCTTTTTGTTGATTGCAAAATTAGATGGTTGTCCAATACTGTTGCAAGCATACGGGTCGTTCGTCTCGTGAAGTTTTTTATACGGATGGTAAAGTGGTTTAGGCATTTCTATTCGTTAGAAGTAAGCAACCATTCGCACCATTGGTATCGAATAGACTTTTAGTTTACGATCCGTAAATAGACTATGTGGATTCGTAAAAGCATTTTGTCGACTAGAACACGAGGCATGGAAACTAGCGTGTGTCTAAGGCGTAAGCAGCAGTATCCCCAATTATTAATTATTCGGTTAAGTTTAGATTGAGTCGGGGTAAGAATATATTTAATACATGTAGATTCTGTTCCTATTTTAATAATATCGCTGCTATTCATTGAGTATCACCTCCCATGTATATATCATATTTCTACTTTATATAATTCACAATGTAAATAATCTATATTCATTCGCACTGAAGATGGCTTATAGTTAAGTCGAAACATGTTTTCCTTAAAAAATTTTGTCGTTTATTTTAAATGCGTGATACTTTAATAATTTTAACTTCAACTCGTGCTCCCCGATGCTCACCCACACGCTCCTGATTCCCCCTGCCTGACACTTCCTGATCTTGCCCTATAAATTCGATATTTAACAGGTGGTTTTCCAAATTTAAAGAAAGCAAATATATAAGTTTTTGATGATTTATAATCATCTTCACACATACATTTAATTACTTACAAATTCAGTAAACTGAGTAAAGACTAACTGATCAACAATGATCGTTATCTTACGACTAATATTCACTAAAAGAAACTAATTGCATATTACTACACTGAAGTCTAAGTAACAAAGGGCAACCTTTCCAGCGAATATTCAGTTGAAACGATGGTCCAGCCTGATACATTTAAGCAAGTATACTGGCCATTCTCGTACCCAGACTCTGTTTAATTAGCGCTATTTGCATGAAAGTTCTTACAAATGCGCGAAAAGGCTTTAATGGCAGAATCGTTTATTTTAAATATGTAATTGCTCTTGTGCTACGATCATATGATTAAGGTATCAGTTAAGTGATAAGATCGCTTCACTTTACGTTGAAAAGTAAAAGGCTCGCGATCGATCATATGTTCTTTGAGATATTGAAAAAAGTCTTTTTGAAACAAAACAATCGCATGCTATTGTTAAGATGATAACACGACAACCATGCAGCATCATGTTATTTATTCATTTCAATACCTCAAAGTCCATTCTACACTTCGTATTAATTCGGTAACCGAGCTCATATAAACTACTAAAACATTCAAACATTCAAATATCAAGTAGCTAATAACGTGTCGAAAGGCTGTTCTTTTTAAGAATTTTATATCTATATATATGTCCAAAAACAATGAAATGTGCAATCAATACTGTTACTTATTTTGTGTCAATAAATCCCGACTGAGATTCTGCTATATGATCTGCTAATTATTAAATAATGCAAGGCTCTGAACTCTGAAGTTACTGTACAAGAATAAATCCGAATGCTGGTGTGTTTGTGTTTTCTAGGATACCACAAATGGCCATATTACCGCATGTCGTCATTCTTATGTCGCTATTACAACCAGCTGAGGTACCAAAACCAATGCACGAATCAGAAGAAAAACATCCGTCTTGATTGTTTGCTACGAGACCAATACGGACACGAAGATAACTTACAAAATATGCTGATTTAAAGTTGATTTCTACACTAAATCCTTCTCTGTTACATTTTTCAAGTAAAGCTGAGCCATTGATGAGAGATTCCCAGGCTTCCTTTCCGGCACTTGTGTTTTTGAAACTACCATCTCCGATCACGTTGTATAACGAACTTGCGGCGTAGTCCAGCGCTATCCATCTGGTCTGATTATTGACTTTCATTCCTAAGCAAATCTTGCGGAACGGTGTGTTCCAGTATGAAGCCAACTTTGTTTGTTTTTCTGTCAAGCCTTCGAGACCATCTTTGATTTTGTAGGCTACCTTGTTGGTCCAATATGAAGAGTTATAGTTGAAATCGTTCTAAAATTGAAATAATATAAATAGTTATTTCTTCTTCTTAGTTCTGATGTTTGGCTTATCCGTACTTTTGACGGATTGTTGTAAAGGTTATTATCACCTTATTCCCATCAATTTTCATCACCAGGGTCCAGCCTCCTCCTCCACATCCAGATATCGGATTCATGTGACAATAAACATCATATTCCTTGAGCGAGACATTATTTTTTATATCGTAAACACCATTGGTTTGTGAACTAAATAGTTGAGTGATAAAATTTGAATATGAGTAAGATTAGAAGAATACGACTTAGTAAATTCATGCGCAATCTTTGATAAACAAACAGGGTGGTTCAAGCGTATTTTATAATAATGTCTATTATTTCTATGGCGTTCTCCCAAGCGCTGCATGGAGAGACCTACAACCCTGGAATGGGTAAAACACTGTGATAAAACACATACACGCCGATTCTTCGCGAATTTTGTGAACAAATTTATTGCTGAAGTTCATATTTTTCACAACTTTCAAGCGATTTTCCATTATTCATGCGTATTATTATACAAGGTCCCAGAGAAAAGTTACGCTATAGAAATCATCCTATTCTCATCATTTCAATGCCTGAGCGCTATAGTGCTAAATCCACAAATGCATAGAAATGATGCAAGCAGTTTCTTTAATTTTAAATTACTCCTATTACAGTGAAAGTCTTCTTACGATAAAATCATGCGGGTTCAATTGACAAAGCGTCAGTAACCCAACACAGTAGCCCATAACACAGTAGAATTTCATTAAATTCCCGTGTTCGTAAACTCGCGGGTTTAAGAGAGGTTTAATAAACACTGAGATAATTTCATTATAGTGTCACTGTTTTTCCATGGGAACACTCAACACTGTACATAATAGGCAGGGGAATTGTTGATGATTTGCATTATCTTAGCCAGCTTGACTAACACGGCAGCCCTAACGTGTTTAACCTTATCAAGACTTTTAAACACAAGGCGTAAATTAGAAGTTAAAAATCATCTCACTGTATTTTATCATGCAATAATTGTGGTACCTGTTCCTTTCTAATATTTCTTTACAAGACCCTGCCTTACTGGGCTCTAAGAAATAATTAAAAATTATAATATTAACATTTGAGAAATAAGAAACACTTTCCGTGTTTCTATACAGTTATAGAAATTGGAAACACGCGCGTGGAAGTTTTGCGCGAATGAGAAATAATCCATGAATGAAATCAACGAATATAACTAACTTCTCTTTTAAAGAAACAGTGTTACTAGTCGCCATTTAAGTCCGTGTATATAGTATTATTAAACTAATGGAAAGGCTTAATTGTTGATTGTTTTGTCGGCAAGCTTGAGAAGGAAGAATCTATTGCCTATCAACAAAAAGAAAAAAATAATATTGAACTGTAATTTAAATAGTCTCATGTTCACGATGCGCATGTTTCAAACTGCAGTTTGAATTGGTTTATGGGTTTACAGACAGTTTAACTGTTATCAATTATTTCATTGTATTAATTTAATTTAGCTATACTAATCCTTCAAACCAATATGTAAAATTAACATTAAAATATAACGACAAAAAGGTCTGACTATATTTTTAATATTCACACCGAATTTCGTTGTCTTCTCTTTGCATAAGTTAACTTAATTGTAAAAAATCTTCAGTTCCCAAGACACCGATGATGCTCGCGTATAGTTTGTTTCGTTTCACGTTTTGTAAAATTATCTGTCGAGCTAAGCAGAGATAACGTACTGAATGAAAACTTACAAGATGATTGAATTCAGGGTTTGTTTCCTCATCGACATCGGATGTTTCCTCAGTCTTCCTTTTGTTTAGCTCACACAGACCTTTACCAATTCCAGACGTTTTATAATTCACAGACGCACACGATTCATGTCCAACGCAATGCAAACCGCATTCCAACTCTGAATCTGCTTGTTTTCGTTCGATGACATGATTCGCCAACAATCGTTTCTCGTGTCTGTGGAAAATGGCTTGCTGAAGTTGCTGAGTTGCTGGTTCGCTGTGTGCTTGCGCCAATTTTGA